GACATTTTACCGCTACTCCCATTAAAAAAAAAAAAAATCTAGGGAATTCCTGGTTTCCCCCAACTCCAAGAAGCTTAGTCAGATTTGTGTCTTCCACACAGCATATATGCTTCATGGCTTATGCTTGGTAGTGTTAGGGTTCAGAACATGCTACTCCAAAATAAAGCACACTGACATCTGAAGAAAGAGCAGCAGTTGGATGGTTACCTTCAACCCCTCTCCTCCCTTTCCCCTGATGCAGGTAATAAAACCTAGGAAGGATTTTCTGACCTTCCCCTGAAGCAGGTCATAAGACCATCCGGTGAGATAGGCCCTCTCTAGGTCCTTATCTCTGAAAATGAATAGTCACAAAGGAGAATTTGAACAAATAGGCTTTGCTGTTTTATTTCTCTTTTATTTTTGCTATTTTATTTGCTATTTCTCCTAGTTTATTCCCATTTCTGTCCAATTATAGCTCTCCATGACTGTCCACTCTTCATTAAACCTAGCATTAAACAAACAAACAAACAAGCAAAAAAACACCCAGGTTTGCTGGGCACAGGGACTCACACCTGTAATCTGTGAGAGGCTGTGAGAGGCTGAGGTAAGAAGACTGCCCGAGCTCAGGAGTTAAGAGACCAGCCTGGGCAACATGGCAAGACGGCGTGTCTCTGAAATAAATCAATAAATTGACTGGGCGTGGTAGTGCTTGCCTGTGGTTCCAGTTACTTGGGGGGCTGGGGTGGAAAGATCGCCTGAGCCCACCTGGGCAAGGCCCAGGTAGCCATGAACATGCCACTGCGCTCAAGGCCGGGCGATGGAGTGAAATGTCAACTAAAAAACAAACAAACAAGAAGCCCTTCCCCTAACCCCCAAAATAATGACAACCAACCCTTCCTTCCCCCCACACAGAGTTTAACTGCTTCTTTGGGTCTTTATTTCCTTATGAAGGCTCCTGTGTCATATAAAATTTACATTAAATATATTTGTATGCTTCTGTTGTTAACCTGTCTTTTGTGATAGAGGCTCAGTCATGAAGTTAGGATGGGTAAGGAAAATACATGTTTCCTTCCCTACAGTGGTGTCACATTTGGAATCCACTGATTAATTTACCAGGTAGGCTTAGCCAAAGTGCTAATGCCCAGTCACCTAGGGAAGACCTGCCATTCCCAGATCCTGAGTTGGGGCTTGCTTTGTAACAAGGAAGAGAAGAGTGCAGAAGCCAGCACAGGTGAATGGGTGATTGTTGCAAAGATTTGGGGGAATCTCTCAGACTGTAAACAGGAGAGACATTTTGTCAGTGTGTCTCAAAATTGAGCTTAAAGATAGAAAACTGGGAATGTGGATTGCCTGAGCACGCAGGTTCGAGACCCGCCTGCTAACTAACTTTCTTTGCCTCTCTTTCGCTTTCTCTACCAACTGACTTTCTTTGCCTCTTACATGGCTTTCTTCCCCTCGATAACTTTGGTTGGCATGGAGCCTTCAGCTCCTGTGGTATGGAGGTGGTACTGTCTCCCAGCATTGCAATTCCAAATTGCCCAGCAATGCTTTGATTGTTTCGGCTAGGGTCACCATCCCTGGCTCAATAAGCTGTGGCAGGTAGTGGGGACTCTAACATGCCCCAGAGTCAATCCTCCTGGGTTTGGAGCCAGGTTCTAATGTCCACTAAAGAGATAGCTCTGGAGCAGTTTCTTACCTGTGAGACTAGAATATTTCCTACTATGTGAGATCTTAAACACGCATTATTCACAGCTGAGGTATGGGAGGCAAATAGCAAAGCCATAGGCAAGATGGCATTAAATATTGGGGCACCATATGAGGACTGGAAACCAGGTGGGTGTTTGGATTAATTCTAGAAGTAGTTACTACAATAGCTTCCAACACATGGGATCCGAGACAGGTGATGTTGAACTTTGAAGAAAGGTCTGATAATGTAAGGAACACTGCAGTACTCAGATGATCCCCCCGCCTTGAGAATGTAAAAATTTAATGTAAAGGATGTAATAATTTTCACCTAAACATGCCATTTTTCATTTTTACATTATCTAAGTGTGATTGGATTCTATGCTACAACTAAAACTGTTTCCAGAGGCACACATACTCAATGTTATGATCCAATTAAAAACAGTATCTGTATCAAAGTATTTGTTTCTCTGGAAATTTTGGGGCATTTTACAAAGTGATCATCTCCTTACTGCTTCAAATATCAGTTAAGGATAGCTCTGTGCAAATGGATGCCAGACAAAATGAATGTCTATAAATCCCCATAAATTTAAGTTTGGATCTCTATGTGCTTCCCATTTAGGTTTAAATTAGGCCTAAACATGGCATGACTTCATATACTACAGAGTTGGATGAACCTAGCAATTCTTTACTAAGCACTGAATTAAAAAGACATAAAACCGCAATATGGCAAGACCTCAATTATTAACACTACAAACACTAAAGATGATTTTTCAGCAAACATGTAAGAGGACCAGAGTACCAACATACACATTTTCTCTAAAGAAATACGTGACTTAATTGCCTTCTTTGTTGGGGAAAAGCAGGACTTAAATAAGTATTAACTTGTGATTTGTCACAACAAACATGACTTTCTCACGGCCAAGGTGCCATGAAAGGTGCCTATCCAGGATTCACTCACATTAAACTATGTACACGTCAAAAAAGCACAGACTTCTTTAACTGGCAGGGAATAGTTTCAAGAATGGATTTAAACACCTGATTCCTTAATCCCGTTGCAGATTCTGCCACTTTCAAGTTCTGGATCAGGTTTTGTATCTCCCTTTAATTTTTGAAAGATTGTTGCTACTGCCATTCTACCTACAAACTGTATCACTTACACACTGTATCACCTTGGCGAGGTACTTAACCTCTGAACTGAACTTATTCGTTGGCAAAATGGGTACTTCTTCACCATAAGAATAGTTGGAGCCGGGCTCGCTGGCTCAGCCTGTAATCCCGTGCCTTTGGGAAGCTGAGGTGAGTGGATTGCCTGAGCCCACAGGTTCGAGACCCGCCTGGGCAGCGAGACCTCATCTCGACAATAAATCAAAAAATCAGTAGCGCGTGCCTGTAATTCCGGCTACTCGGAAGGCTGAGGCGGAAGGATCGCCGGAGCCCAGCAGGCCGAGGCTGCGGGGGCCGGGAGCGGCCACTGCACTCCAGTCTGGGCGACCGAGTCAGACTCCAAATCAAAAACAAACAAACAAACAAACAATAGTTGGAAGTGTCTGAATAATTGAGAGCTGTTTTTATTACACGCACACACTGCTTTGTAGTAGGGTTTTCTGAACGCATACGTGAAGTCCTAGTTTTATGTTTATGAGGCATTGATTTAAAGGCTTAGGGCTAGATGCCTGATTTATTATTTTTTTACAACTGAAACACTGATGAAAAACTTTCATGCGTTAAAAGTTCAATAACTAAAAATAATTCACTAAGACAAGCTAATACCATTCCCATGAATGGAAGCGTGTAGAAAATTCTGCTTTCCATTCGTCTAAGTGGTTTAAACACAGCGTGGGACTGATATGAACCCGAATCACACACTGCATGGAAATGACTCGCGGCGAGGGGACCGTTCGCTAAAGATGTCTTTTTCGTTGCTACTGCTGAGGCCACAGCCAGAAAATCATATTCCAGGCGCCGTTTAGAGGTCTTATCCCCTTTGCAAAGCCTCCATTTTTCTTTCAAATAACGCATTTCCACCTTACTTCCACTGCATTTGGAACAAAAATTCGTAGGAGAGAGGCCGCAGGGGACTGGAAACCCCGAGACTCCTCTCCGCCGGCCCAGCCGGCGTCCGTGAGCGCCGGGCCCCAGCCGACCCCCCGCCCAGCCGGGCCGACTTCCGCCCGAG